CCCAGTCATATTTCGGCTTTACCAATTTTTCCGTTGTCTATTCTATTTGTATACTCTTCCTACATTACGTCAATTGTTACTATTACTATTCTCACTTCGAACTGTCTCCGGTACTATTTCACTCATTCCACTTATCATTCGTAATCAATTCTGTTTTGCAACGTTAAATTCTATGTTATCAGATTTCTATTTTGTTCGATTTGCCTAGTAATCCTATAATTGCACACCCTTTTTCAAGTTCTATACATCCTATGAATTATTCTATATATAACCATTGTTTTGCCACTTGACATTTACCTATGATTATAATCACAAACACTTTAGTTTTTAATTGCATTTCATACTATTATTATTATTATATGCATTCACACCTATGACTCAATTCCCTCACCGTATATAACTTATTAATATATATATATATATATATATATATACGATTGTACAGCATGATGATAAATTCGTTGTAAAGAGTCTCTACGCTGAATCACTTCTTTGATTTTCTATGTTACAATAGGAATTTTCCCATGAATGACACCTTTCAATCAATGAAGGATAAAAGGAATATTGTAAATTAAAACCCAAGAGGTTGAACTAAACGTCACGTGCACTATTCACTTAATATCTTCTACAAGACTGTCGGTTCGGTCAATGACACAATCCCACCTACAAAATCTTCTCTGAAAGCCCCAACTTTATTTATAGGCCATAAAAGCTGGATAAAACTAGTGCAACTGAAAAGGGAATTCTATGTATTTAAAGAATTTAGTGCATTACACCAGTTACATGTAACTTTTAAACTGCTTGAGTAGATGCACATAATTATGACACAACTTTGGAGGCATCTTTAAAACTCAGAAACTTTACGGGATTCCGCAAAAATGTCCAAACAACAGTGTCAGCCACTTGAAATATGAAGGTATAGTTTACGATGATCTCCAGATTATTAATGGACTCTTCAGCCAGTGGTTTTTTTTAATGACATCCAAACACACCCATTCCAAGTCCTCGACATAACCTGTGAAAATAACCACAAAATAAGTGACATCAACTTTAGTGGATAAAATATCGACTCAAGAGTTATGACATTAAAAGCTGTCTGTCTGTCTGTTTTCGACATAGAACTTTGCACAAATGTGCGGAAGTTCAAGTCGCCACACTCCGTGTAGCACGCGAAGCAAGAGAAGAAAGTACAAGAAAAGCATAATAGAAACAGTGAGCAGAGGTGTGAGACAAAGGAGTAATAAAGAAATACAAAACAGTTTCATTGAAGATCATAAGTCACAGGGAGTGGATGCATCTGCGCCACTGAAAACGATTTTGAGCCATGTCACCAATTGTTTCCAACCATAGATTTTTACCGTCCCGAGGACCCCAGCCTGGAAGTCTACACCTTCCTACGTGGCTTAGACCGACTGTTGTGGATTTCATTGACTGATGCCAAGTTTTTGTTTGACCGCCGCTAGCTTTTTTCCAGCCTGACCCTATATCCGCTAACATTGCTCGTCGAGGGAGGCGATGGCTTGGCATACGTAACACATGTCCTAACCATCTCAGTCGATGTAGCTTCACGACTTCGTCGATTGATTTCCCCTGTTTACCTAGAACTCTACGCCTAACCTCCATGTTGCTCACCTTATTATGCCACTTTACACGGGAAATAGAACGCAGGCACCTATGATCAAAGACAGCTAGTCTTTTCATGTCTTCCACTCTCAGTGGCCAGGTCTCACAACCATAAAGGAGGACGGAGCGGACTGATGAGCAGTACACCCGCCCTTTGGTCGATAGTCGAACATCTCGTCTACGCCAGAGTCGGCGTAAACTAACAAATGCGAAACGAGCCCCCTGTATTCGTGCTGAGATTTCGTCAGAGATCAGCCCGTTGGGGCTGATGGTACTTCCCAAATAAGTGAAGCGGTCAACGTGCTCTACCACTTCACTTCCTATTTTTAAACTAGGCGTCGATGTAGTCCAGTCCTGTAACATCATCTTGCATTTGGCGGGAGCGAATCGCATGCCAAACATTCGTAGATTGCAGCTCAAGGTGTTTAGAAGACTCTGCATTTTGTCAGAGTCCTTGCCTAGAAGGACTATATCGTCTGCATATTCCAAGTCAACGAGATTATTCCCACCCTGGTAGCAAGTCAATCCCTGAGTCGCTGAAGTCACCTAGGGTTAAGTCCATTAACACATCTATGATGAAGTTGAATAGAAAAGGAGATAATGGGCATCCTTGACGGACACCACTGGTCGTCACCAGTTCAGATGACAGCTCGCCGTAAGCCCTCACCTGGCTGTATGAGTACGAGTAGAGTGCCTTAATCAGTGAAATCTATTTCCTCGACATTCCCTTCACAGCCAAACATCACCAGAGTACCTCTCGGTCGACAGAGTCGAATGCTGCCTTTAGGTCAAGAAATATAATGACTGTTGGACGCCGGTAGGAATGCCTATGTTCTAGAATCTGTCGGAGGGTGAAGATATGATCAATACACCCTCTTCCTGGTCTAAAGCCTGCCTGGCTCTCTCGTGTTTGTGCCTCCCGAGCACCACTCAGTCTACGCATGATTATTGAGCCTAAGACTTTAGATACTATATTAGTCAAGCTAATCCCTCTGTGATTATCACAGGAAGACTTGTCTCCCTTCTTGTATATGGGGATAATCAGTGACTTACACCAACCCGATGGGACTTCTTCTGATTCCCAGACGCTGCCTAGTACCTCAGTTAATCCGGACAGTAAGCTGTCTCCACCGTACTTAAATACCTCTGGAGTCATTCCATCAGGTCCCGCTGCTTTGCCTAGTTTCAGATTGGTGACAGCTTTAGTAACCTCAGTTAGGGATGGAGGACCTGTGTCTATATCCCATTCAGGGAGGTGTTGGATGCTCGGAAGGTTGAGCGTGGCTGTGGGCAAATTAAACTGCTCCTCATAATGCTCTTTCCAACGATCCAGTCGTCTATCCTGGGAGCTAATTATAGTGCCATTTTTTTCCGAGATTGTCTCACTAATGATTTGTCTTCTCCCACCCGTTTCCCTGATGAGTCTAAATAGTTGCCTGGTGTTGCCTATCCTCGAAGCTTTCTCCATCTCTTTGGCTTTTGTCACCCACCACTGTTCACGGTCCTTGCATTAAAAGCTACCGCTAGCTGTAGAACAGACGACACACACCATCTATCATACACAAAAACGGTAGGATGGATATAACAGTCTTGTTACTTAGAATATTTACCGTCTCACTAGAGACTGGAACCTACCCTGAAATATTGAAAACCACACACATACTACCTAAGCATACAGCAGGAACGAAAACTATTACATGCAATCATAAGCCTGTCAATATAACACCGTTCAAATTACGAATGGAAAAGTAATCAAAGACCAAATTCCAGACTAATTAGTTAAGCATAATGTCACCCACATGCATTCCTCAGTAAAGACCACGTGCCACTCAACAAAGACTTTTTCAGTGAAGCTACCCATAGAATTGATAGAGGAGACCTAGTCGTTGACCTATATTGTGACATAACTAAAGCCTTCAACAGTCTCACACAGTCTGCTAATCAGTAGGTTGTGCTTACTATGGTTTCGCAACCCTCCCCAGTACTGGATAAATCATTTCTCTGTGGTGGAAAACAGACAACAAAAGCTGGCTCGATGACGTCCAGGTGTAGACCAATAAACAGTAATGTCCCCTAGGGAAGTGTATCAGACCCCCTCCTCTGCATTCGCATAAACAATATGTGAGTGCCTTAGTCGGGTAAACCGACACTGTATGCAGATGAATTAGAAGTGACCTACACTTGCGTGAACACAGATCTCGTTACAACTGCGAACTATATACAGTATGAATTCACAAAAACGGATACATGGTGTGACATCTGACTACTCGAGTCTAATGTCAAGAAATGTAGCTGGCTGTGCATAGGTTATCCCAACTTAAAACTTGACCAAGTAATTCAAGGCCACATACTCCCCAGACTGAAATCTGTACTAGACCTGAGGCTGAAATATTCACACGACTCACCATTTTCACAGCATTCCTCCGAGCAAGTGTTAAAATCACGCACGCTCATCGGCTTCCCACTGTGGAACTTCCACAGAAATGTTTCCAGAATTCTTCCGTACAAGGTGCGTGTGCATCCACCAGTAATAATAATAATAATAATAATGACCCATATTTCGTATAAACGAGCAAGCTTGTATGAAATGCATGTCATATTTACAGGCACGATTAGATATATTATAAGTCACAATCATGAAATGTCAATAAATTAGCACCTTTTCAAAAGTTCAGTGTCGAACTATAGTACAAGCAATCAGAACAAGTTCATATAAATGCAAAACTGTAAACCTTTCATTAAGCTCACCATTCAGGTTGAACACCGACCCAAACATCGTTTCGTTTCATGCTGATAATTGTGGTCAACTAATGAACAATATACATTTGGGTGAGCCATTGAGGAATTGATGTTGGCGGCAGTCGGTACTTGATGACAGTGGATGGTGTGCTACTACTAGCGTTTGTGATGGCAAAGTTCCCAGTGTCCCCAGAAGTTCTCGCAGGATGATTTCGGATGACGAAATATTCTCATTTCCAATTTTTATACCCATTGGTCCAGACGGTGAACAAAACTTTGAAATGGCACGAGCTGCAGCGCTGCATGACAGTCTCGCCGCAAATCGGATAACAATTTCGATCGACCCCTCGCGGATCTGTATCCAGATGGTCAGTCGGAGTTAACATTGGAAACGATCCATATGGTTTCTTATGTTAAGACAGTCGCTCCACCTGCAACACTAGATGCATTTCCATCTGTACTTCAAGGTGCCGAGTCGTGGATCAGAGACAGATGGTGCTTTCAAGAGAGGGATTTCGCTAATACGACGCATAATTCACAATCTACAGGACCTGATACATCACTAAAAATAGGTTTAAAACTTATTCAAACAGTTGTACCTTGTTCAAACCCTGTTGTCGAAGTTCAGAAGCCGAATGATGCAAAACTCATGGAAGTTGATCAGCATACCCCCAACCAATGATGACTTAGAACCGATGAAAATTAAAGCTAATCGTACACTTCCTGAATTTGAAACCATTCTGAAATGTGGGAGAACACCTGAAGAGAACAACACCATGTTGAGTAAAGTTGATTCTATGGCTTTCAACAGTCCACTTGATATAGCTGGACGGATTAATCGTATGTTTGATAAAGCACAGTTGAGTTTTGCAAATACAAATCTTGCGAGTGATTCCCAGATGAATGAAATAAATACGGGGGATGCTAATATCGACCAGTTGAAATCAAATGTATTGAGCATATTTTACGATCCTTTAGATCTAGAAACACCCAATTGGTATGATGCTAGTGAAGTAGTGAAAATTAATAATGGGGAGAAATCAACGGCTATTGCGAACCCAATTAATCCTCCGTCTGAAGATAATCAAACTGCCCTTAGTTCTGCTGATATTGCTCTTGATGATATTAGTACAAAAATGATCATATGGATGATACTTGTCTGTTAGAATTTTTGGATCGTAATCTAACATTGATTCTAGAAAGACTAATATGGTCAATCAACCAAATATTCTGCATTCTTCTGCAACAGGGTTTATGCAAGACATGCTTAAAAAGCCATGAAAACTGTGAAGCATAAGCATCAACAGTGAAAACATATTTCCTCTTCATTGGATTGATTTAATCGACGTCGCTTCGTTTCTGAATGCTTGCATTTCATATGTCTTCAATAAATCACTATTTCGCTGTAAAAAAGAAAGAAAAATAAGAGACCAGGGATGAAAACCATCTACTGGACGTTGTATGTATCGACCTTAATAAAGCATTCGATAAGGAATCCCATTTAGGTCTTCTTAGTAAACTTAAACATTTTGGATTAGACCGACGCTTATGTAAGTGTTTTAGTGACCACTTGATGGATAGGAGGCAGAAGGTAAGGGTTAATGCTGTACTGTCAGGGTGAAAAGCAGTGCTAAGTGGGGTATCTCAGGGAACTGTACTTGGCTCCCTGCTATTCCTATTATATGTAAATGAAGTGCCGAACATTCTTACCTCATCTTCCTTACTATTTGCGGACAATATTAAGATATGGAAAACCTTAAATAGTAACGATGATAGGTTAGTACTACAAAGCGATCTAGACAAATTAGCTGAATGGGTTAACCTTTGGAGTCTGGTAATTAATTCCAAGAAAAGCGCGGTAAAGCACCTAGGTCAGATATCTTACACGTGGTACTCCATATGGATCATCTCCAGTGTTAACTCCGATTGACCATATGGATACAGATCCATGAGGGGTCGATCGAAATTGTTATCCGATTGCGGCGAGACTGCCATGCAGCGCTGCAGTTCGTGCCATTTCAAAGTTTTGTTCACCGTCTGGACCAATGGGTATACAAATTGGAAATGAGAATATTTCGGGTAACACTAAAGAATAGCGGCCCAAACCGAAACGACCTATAAACGCAAAAATGACCTTGACAGGGACAACTTCGGCCAATGAGAAGGCTCAAAAAGAAAGGCGCATATTTGTAAAAAACAGTTTATATAGAAGTAATGCAATCATAATAAACAGTTACAAAGAATGGCGTTCGCGTATATGTTGCAAAAAAACCTCCCAGTTTCTCATGGAAGTCTTCATAGTCATATGAAACCAGTTTCGGTACATAAATTCATCCAGGTAACTGTGAATCATGGAATTTCTCGATCCATTAACCGCTCTTATACGTCTTTCTAGACGACTCCAAAATCTTTCACTGGAACTGGTGTGGGTTCCATCTGAAGGATTCCGGAAACCGTCCGTATGATTAACAACATGATGAATGTACTCATGATTCGATAATTGACGGTATCCGCTCCATTCATCCGTATGAATGGTCGTCCCCGGCAACACCAAACGCTTATTAATAGGCACTAATACTGCTGCACTGCGATTGGGAATCGCTTCCATATACCCTTTGCGCAGTGTCGTGTCGTAGATACCCAGTATCCACTGCTGGTTTGCTTGTAATCTCCCGCGGTTGTATTTCCTTTTTATAAGTACAGTCTCATGAATATGGACTATGCTGCCGACCCCCCCGAGAACTTTAGTCGGGGTGTTCATTTTCCAGGAGGAAACATCTCTGCAGTAGTTGTACCATTTCACTGCTGACACCTCTGAATTTTCTGTTTCATAAGCTGTAGCTGTGGCTGCTCTTTTCAGGACCCAGAAGTTACAGATCACTAAAATTTTTGCCAAAGGTAGTTTAGACCTTGAGAGAAAAGTTCCTAAGGGATCTGTAAACTAAAAAACAATGACAAACCATCTCGAACCGATTTCCTCCTTCGGCACTCAATACATCTGTATACAAAGCCATCAATGGCCTCTGCTTATATTTGTATATGCATAACTCCTCCGCACTGGCAAATTTTCGACAAAGCTATGAGACCGTTATCCAAACAGTAATCGAAAACATCCATGATTACTTCCGAAAATGATAGTCAGCTGATTCCTTGTTCAAGGTCACTTTTTTGTTCGAAGGTCGTTTCGGTTTGGGCCGCTATTCTTTAGAGTCACCATATTTCGTTATCTGAAATCATCCTGCGGGAACTTTTTCACCACGAACGCTAGTAGTAGCACACCATCCACTGTCATTAAGTACGTTGCTCACTAGAGATAGAGGATAGCGGCACAAATGGCTTATGGAGAGGCTGAGCACTTGAAGGTCACTCACGCACACTGTGATTGGTAGATGACGAAACGAAGTTAGGGTTGGCGCTCAAACTTCCAATATCCAATATCGTTTTCACTAGCTAGTAGAAGCCAATTTGATTTCTTTGCGCTCGCTTCTTGATTCTAAGGTATAGGCTCCTGATCTTCGGTAAACTTCTGCGCAGCTCGGATCGCCACTCGGCTGTCGTAGCTTTGGTCGACTCCAAAGGGAGTAGTGCTGGGATTCATCATATGTGGTTTGTAGTAGGAGGTGTGTTAAGACTGTTACTACTGTGAATGGAGTTGTTCCTTTTGCCACTTAGTCCTCCGGTATCGTCGACAAGAGAGAAGAGATGATAATAATAGATATAGTTAGTGGAGTTATTCAGACTAACAGATAGAAAAAGAAATAAAAAAACAAAACAATCAGCTGATTAAATTTGAAGAATAATATGAATAATATATATATCGGTAATAATGATTATAGTAATAAGTGTAGTTAAAGTTGTCAGGAGAGTAAGACGGGGGAGAATGTAAAGAAGTAAAACGACAACTTCAATTGTCTACCCCTGAATTGTGTATGCGATTTTAAGGGGATAGGCCATTTGGATGCAGTCCTTGTGTCGCTGCATGGTTGTCCAGCCTTCGCTTAAAGGCGTCCAAAGACGGTGCCATAGCTACATCTGCCCGTAAGGAATTCTAGGGACGACAAACCCGCAGTGAAAAGAAGTGGGAGCACACCGGGTCCTTGCCCTCCGGTGAGCTATCCTTCTGGGATTTCCACGAGGGAGCCCATGCCTACTCAATGGCAGAACACCTTTGTTTGGGTGATTCTGGTCATTTGTTATTTTGTAGGCAGTAATCAAATCCCCCCTAAGCCGATGGTAACTAAGTGTGAACAGGCCTAATTTCTTCAGCCTTTCATCATATGGTTTGTTTCGGAGACCAACCACTCCTTTTGTTGCCCGTCGTTGGACTCTTTCCAAGAGGTTGGCATCTCTTCTCAGCATTGGGGGTGCAATAATATTATGCACCTCAAGATCTGGTCTGATGTATGTTTTGTACAACCTTAGAAAGAGCTCAGGAGTGAGTGCACCTAACTGTCTATGCGTAAAGTGTATGACCGCATATGCCCTCGCTACATCCCCTGTGTAATTTACGCTTGTGTCCATTTTTTCCGTTAGAACTAAACCTAAGTCGCGCTCCGACGTTGTGCAGAACAAGCTTTCATTGCACAGGGGGTAACTTGCATTCTGCAGTCTACAGGTGCGCAACTTCACTACTTTGCACTTTTTCAGGTTGAAAGTTATGCCACTGGCCACCGCCCAGTCTTCCAGAAGGTTTAGATCTTCCTGCAGCCCATCTGAGTCCTCCGGACACTTTATCGCCCTCCGTATCTTTACGTCGTCAGCGTATAGAAGAGTCCGGCAGCTTAGACGGCGTGGTAGATCATTGATAAAAATCAAAAACATCAGCGGTCCTGGGATAGGACCCTGCGACACTCCTGATGACGAGCTGTGCCAAGACGATCGGACTCGATTGACCTTTGTGCAAAATTGCCTTTCAGCTAGGTGGTTCCTTAACAGAAGTGGATTATCTATACCCGCCTGGCTTATTTTGTGTGGGGGATGGTCATGGTGAACAGTGTCAAATGCCTTCTCAAAGTCTAGGAAGACCACATGGACTGGAACATTCATATCCCAGCATGATGCCCAATCGTCCCAAGCTGATAGTAGGTTAGTAACGCAGGAACTGCCCTTCCTAAAACCGTGTTGGGCTTCATGCAGTATATTAGACATTTCGAAATATTCCCTGATGTTATCGTCAATAATACTTTCCAGTACTTTTGATACTACTGGGAGTAGAGCTAGGGGTCTATAACTAGTGACATCTTGCCTATCCCCACCGTTTAAGATTGGAGAAAGGATGGCTCCTTTCCACTCACTTGGCAGTGTCCCCGAATCTATTGAGTGTTGAAACAGGTCGCATGGGGGCCTACAGGGAGATTCGGTGAACTGTTTCCGAACAGATGGCCTGATGTCGTCACGACCTGAGGACTTCCCAGGTGTGAGTCGCTGTAGCTTCCTTAGTGTTTGTCAGTCAAGCCTCATAAACTGTCAATGTCCAGCTCTTACTACGCTGGACCTCAAGCTGTCCCTCGAAGACTTTCAGAAACACTTTGTATTAACCAACGCGAAAACCAAAACACTGATTGGCGACTTGAGAATCCTTAATTCGAACGCCAACATATAACCAACAATAATGTTATTACAGAAGAGGGTTTCTGATTTTTTTAATCTCCCTTCTGAACAGCGAACGATGAGACGATGACTGTCGGATTGATGACCGGCGAAAATTATGGGGAAGTTAGGTTTGAGCAAACAATCATGAATTGATCATTCAATCTTCAGCTGCACTGACAGTACTATTGCGGGGTTTATTTGGGGAGTAGCCACTAGGTCTTCCTCCTGCGAAATAGTGGTGCCACCCTTCTGGTCGGTAACTGCAATATCCACACTACTGTTTAGCTGTTTGCCGAAGGCTGAACTGAATGTTTCAGCCATCTCTAGTCTAGTTAGATATTGACCATTTGGGCCGACTAAGGCGCATGCCATCTGGTTTGTCGGTTTTCTCTCTGACATGAGTCGGTACAAGTTTTTGGAGTTTGCTGGGAGTTGTTTAGCAAGGTTAGCCTGGAATGACCTCCTGTCCCTCCTGACTCTTGCATTACACCGGTTCCTGAGTTCGAGGTATGCCTCGTGGTCAGTCTGACTCTTAGATACGCGCCACGTAAACCAAGCCTATCGCTTTGCTTCC